AAAAATGAATAAACTAATTTATTACTTATCAATGATTTTTTATACAATTAAATATTGAGTAAAAAACTTAAATAAACAAATTTATTACTTATATTTGCACAATTCTTGTTGATGTCGAGGAGTGGTAGAATAGTAATGACTTGGTGCTCGTCGATTTCGTCGTGGTCGTCCACCTTCGTCATTTTCGTCTTCTTTCGATTCCGGTGTACTGAACATTACTCCACCACTTTGATTTACATCTTTGGGTGAAAACGATGGAGTTTTCAAGGTATTTGATGCCATCATTAACGTCATCGCCTTAAATTGAGATTGTCCGTATTAAATAAGATGATCCCATTGACCTCTTTCTTTCGGTTCTGAGGAAAATTGTTGTAAAGGTGGCACTTGATCCCACCCACTTCCTTCCCACTCCGCTCGGCTCTTCATCGATGGTTGATATGCTCCATATCCACCATAACTTTCTTGCGATGGATAATAATTGGCGGAAGCATAAGATGAAGATGTTGGTGAAGATGATGATTTTTTTCCATATTTTACCTTCATTATTTCCCACTCGGACCGCTCCTTCGGCGTTGTCAAGTATGGTTTCCCATTTGCTTCATAATTTTGGAGGTAGGAAAAAATATTGAAATCAAAATCTTTGGGTTGTACCTCAGAACGATTAGGCAATCGTACATGTCTATGTTGCCATTCATGTATGCATATAGCATGTTTCCTCGGCCAATCTTCGTTATGCTTCTCACTCGCATCTATTTTATACAAATCATCCATGTTAAATATGGACATTTCTATCAGTTGGTGAAACCAAAATTTTCGCAAAACTCTATCGACGACATAGATCTCAACAACTCTAAATTCTCTTTCAACCACGTCATCCGTATCCGCAACACATCAATGACATCGGCTGAAGTCTCATTTCCCAATAAATTTGAAATAACAAAATTTCACAAATAAATGTTGCGAAGCACCAATGACATATCATTAATCGGAACGCTAAGTTGATACGCAACATCTTCAAATGTTATTGTCACTTCACCACAAAGGAAAATGAAACATATGAGTTTCGAGCCTCCAACGCTCAATCAACGCCGATATTAATACCGAGATCACCTTAAATCCGCGAAAAAATGTCACTCCATATAATCTGGATTGTGAAAGATATATCACCATCCGCTCATGTGGCTCTTCATTCATCATTCCTCGATGACGAATGACTCGTTCTTCTCGCTACAATGTGAAAATAAATTATTTAATACAATTACATAAATAATTATTATTAATACTATAATTTTGTCAAAACTAAAATGAAATAAAACAAATTAAGTTTATCGTAATCAACTCGGTTGACGAAATATGAACATCATCAAGACGTAACATTTATTCTCTTGAGGCAATTTCAACACAAAAGTTTTTACTCTCAATAGAATATTTGATTCCAATTGAAAAATCAATCCAACCCAAAGCTCTATTTATACTATTCCACCCAACGACTATAAACGACTAGTTTATTCAAATTAAAAGTAGTCGTTGGAACTCATCACACCAGCGTGACGAGTTCCATTGATTTTTTTTTTAAATTGACTGATCAACACGGTCAACAAATTCAAAATCATACTCGTTTCATTCTGCATTAAAATAATATATTTTTTCAATGCTTTTAAAAATTTTAAAAAATTATTTTTTATTAGGAAGGATATATTAAATATATTCGGACAGTGAGACCCACGTAACACGACCCATTAAAAAGTATATTCCATGAAACTCGTCACGCTGACATGAAGAGATTTTTGGACACTGTAACATTTGTTGTAGATTCTAAAATAAAATTTCGAGTGCGCTATTAGGCTAAATAATCCGTCCGCTTGGATTATTGGGATAAAAAAACCAACTTCGGTTTATTCAAGACATCCTTTATATTACTAGCTATCGAAAAGCATTTTGCTTATTAAATAATTTATCAGTATCTACCTGAATTTGCAAATTTTATTAGCACCATGCAAATAAGGTAGCTAGCGATACTTTTTTAAATGCTCGATTTGCTTTTTTCAAATAACCAATTGAGGTTACTGCCCAGGTTTAATTTAAATTATAATTATAATAATAGAATTCTAAAAATAAAAAATAAATATTTAATGAAAAAGTATTAAAATCAAAATAAATATAAAAATATTAGTAAAATTAATTTAAATCATAATTTAACGTTAACTTTTTTAATAATATAATATTTATTTAATTTAATACAGTGATTAAACATTAAATCCCTCATACAAGAGTTTTTTTAAAGCTCATATATCTCTAGTATTATTTTTAGATAATCTGAGGTGATTATAAGGTAATATATGAACATAATTTTTTTTAAATTATTGATAACACATATACTTTTGATTATAAGGTAGTATTTGAATATAATTTTTTAACTATTAGATAAACTGAGCTTTTATTTAATTTAAACACAACTATTCAAATTTAAAATCTTAAGGAAAAATAATATTATCTTTAATCATTGAGGTTGTTGAATAAAATTCATCCATGATATAATTTTGATTCCATCACTAAAGTAATGAAAACATTAATTTATTAGAGAATAACGTGTAATAATGCTGATGTGGAAATATATATATATATATATACACACAGAGCAATAGTGTCGCCATTTTCTAACCGTTAGTTGTTAATATAAAAAATATAACATTAACGATAGTTTTATTAAAAAGAAAGTTAAGGATCAAAATAAAAAATAATAATTTAATGAGCAATATGATAATTTATCTAAAGTTAAAACTAATTAAATTACAATGGGACATTGCGAGTTTCAACAAAATTGATAAAAGGGGAAAAAAGAGGAGAAATTATATCGTGTGACAACCTTAATATATGATTAAAAAAATATTATCGGTTTTATTATTATTATTTTAATAAAATCGATAAAAAATACTTAAAATATTATTATTTCTACTTAAAACATTAATATTTTTTAATATTTTCGATAAAATGTCTAATAATAACAAAATCAATAGAAAAAATAACAAAAGCGACAACGCTTTATCAGATATATTAACAAAATCAGTAAAGTACTCAATAATAACAAAACTAATAGAAATAATAATATTTCGATAAATTTTTACTGATTTTATTAAATAATAATAATAATAATAATAACATTTTTCTTTAACATTATATTAAGAATCCGCGTGAAACATTCCCAAAAAGGAGGCGTGCGGGAGCGAAAGTTGGCCTCGGGGTTCGTAGAAGTGGTTGGGGGAAGAAAGCAAGACATGAACAGGCTACGAGGGATGGGCAAATGGGTCATCTTGCCTCCCCACCAACGAAGATGAATGTTTTAAATAAACCCGAAAGTAACAATTTTTGAGATGAATGGATCAGTCACTTCGTTACCAACAATGTGTATCTGCATGCTTGCCCAGCGCCACCGGGAATGTATAATGAAATTTGTACGAATATAAGGTTAAGAAAAAAAGTTATTAAAAATATTAATATTTTTTTAATATTTTCAATAGAGTAGAGTATTACTTAAAATTTTATTTTTTTACTGAAAATATTAATATCGGGTGCTACCTAAAATATAATTTTTTTATCAAAAATATTAATATCAGAAATATTTATTTTAAATAATAAAATTAATATTTTCGTTAAAAAAATAACATTTTAAGTAGCCAACGTCACCACTCTTTTGCCCACCTTTATGACTCGTTTGATCACTTGTGATTTTGTTTCTTATATTCACGTTGAGTTATGAGAGTTATCTTTAAACGTGCTTACTTTTTCATTTATTTGTATTTCTTTTGAAACTATTTTTATGATAAATAAACACATTGTTAAAATTACATATCTCTTTTTAAACTTTTTTTTTCTCATCAAAACAATCATAAGCATTAATATTTTTATATTTTCACGAGATCCCTTTTAAAAAACAATGCTTTCGTTGTTAATATTTTATCTTTCAAATATTGAGACATTCAAAATATTTTTTAGGGTCATTCGAAGTCCTGAAAATATCAATTTTTGAATAATAAAATATTTTGACACGACCTCTTGACAAATCTACATGATTTACGATTTACTATTTAACAATAAATTTATTTAACCGGTCACCAATAAGTAATTATCATAATCCTACATCTTATATTAACAGTAAATGTCACTATAAAACCTCTTAGTCAATATTAAAAAGCTTTTATCTTTATACTTGTATTAAAGGAGAATCAGATGACTTGAATAATTTGTAATTCCACCATCAACTATTAAGTACGACTTTCATTCAAAATCAAAATAAGTAAAGGATTTACTCTGATCACAGTCCAATTATTCTCATCTACAATATTAATTAAATTAATAACATACACTCGACCTTGTGATATTAGAACTGACTATCTTATAACACTTATCTCTTTATATTAGAGGTGATAAGTGATAAACCTAATCCAACGCTAACTTTTTTTCTAATCTTTTCTTATTTTCTAAATAAAAAATGATTACATTTAAATGTAATAAACTTTTTGATCTTTAAAAAAACTAATTAAATTAAGATCTAATAAATAATATTAGATTCTTTATTCTAATTAATAATAGTTTGATACTATTTCTATAATTATTTAAATGTACATTCCTGTTCACATCAACCAATCATTTCTTTTAAAATCTTTAAAATGTACAAACTAAATAATAAAAAATAAAATATATATAATCAATGATAAATAAAATACCATTACCACTTTACCAGTGATGAAAAATAAATACAATTAATATTAATGTAAAATACATTTAACAATAGCGTCATCTAATTTGACAGTGACAGCCTTGTTTATTTGGTTTCTAATATTTAATCCTCTGCTTATACATTGAACATTTAAACAGCGGTACAAGCAATATTATTTATCCTTCGCATAAATTTTGGATTTTTTTCAGTCGAAATATCTTTTATGTTTAATCTCTTTACATTTTCATTTTGTAATTTTTTCAATTTCACCAGTTTTGGCCCTCATTATGTGCCTATAAATTGCACTTCCCCAGAACCTCGTGTCACTCACGCCTTGAAAAGAACAGAGCAACACATTAGTAAGATCCTCAGACCAACAATGGAGCTCACTTTTCCTGTAATTGACTTCTCCAAACTCAATGGCGAGGAGAGAGCAACCGCCATGGAAATGATCAGCGATGCCTGTGAGAATTGGGGCTTCTTTGAGGTACTAAATGCTCTGAAATATGTGTTTTATACTAAATCAAGCATATGTAGCAGTTTACAACTTTTACTAATTGGATTCGTAATAGGTTATAATAATGCTTCTAATCCTTTGCTATTTTCTTGAAAAGCTGGTGAACCATGGGATATCTCATGAGCTGCTCGACACAGTGGAGAGGCAGACAAAGGAGCACTACAGAAAGTGCATGGAGCAAAGGTTCAAAGAAATGGTTGCCAGTAAGGGTCTTGAGACTGTTCAATCTGAGATCAATGACATGGACTGGGAAAGCACCCTCTTCTTGCGCCACTTGCCTGAATCAAACATGTCTGAAATTCCTGATCTTGAACAAGATTACAGGTCAGACTTCAGAGTTCACTTTCTTTTCTTACACGGTTAGGGTCTTTATGTTTTTAACTGACATGGTTCACTTTGTGTTTTTACAACAGAAAGGTGATGAAGGAATTCGCAGTGGAGTTGGAGAAGCTTGCAGAGCAACTTTTGGACTTGTTGTGCGAGAATATGGGGTTGGAGCCTGGTTACCTGAAAAAGGTGTTCTATGGGTCCAAAGGGCCAAACTTTGGAACCAAAATCAGCAACTACCCTCCATGCCCCAAACCAGACCTGATCAAGGGACTCAGGGCTCACACTGATGCTGGTGGAATCATCTTACTGTTCCAAGATGACAAGGTCAGCGGCCTTCAGCTTCTCAAGGATGAACAATGGATCGATGTTCTTCCCATGAAACACTCCATCGTCGTCAACCTTGGTGACCAGCTTGAGGTATAACAAAGCAACTGTTTTCCTTTGAGAAACGGGTTTAATTTAGCAGTGTGTTTCTGTTAATAAGTTTAGTCGGCTTACGTATAAATTATTATGTTAAATTATTACAGTTGTGGAATTTGTGAGTGCTAGCAGGTGTGGATCTTAGTAGTTCAAATAAGCTTGGACTAAGAATCCCTCTGTTTTATATGAAACCTGGTCGATAGTGGCTGTGATTTAAATGACATGTTTTGAGTGGCCATATTATATCTGATATGCAATTTGTCTTCAAGATTCTGTTTTGGCTTTATTAGGCTTTTATAACTTACTGTCTCATTTCTGTCTTTAATATTTTAAATATTTTATGTCGGTCCACAGTAATAATTTATAGTTGCACTCGGATGCATGTGTCGAATACAAATATATTTTTACACAAATTATTAATATTAATAATTTTTTTAGATTGCAAACTATAGCCTTTAGTCCATTCTCCCTGCCTCCTCGGCTTAATTATATTCATTTTCAAATAAGGAAAGCGGCACCTTTGCGACCCTGTTTTACATGTAATTTAAATACTTGGTTTTGACTCTAATGGTCTGCATAAACCTGTGTTAGTGTATATTTAATACTAACAACTTTCCCTGTCCTCCTTTTGGAAACTGAAAGTAGGACGTAAAATTTCCAGCGTGGCTCTGCACTTGGCATATGTATCAACATGTCATCGTAATGTACACATACACGTTTTTGTTGATCTTAAAATTATGGGAATTCGTATAGCATATGTCCTCTGAGTCTTGCTGGAGTGTCTGTTAACCCCCATAAGAGCATCGATCATTGATAGAGGCCAAGTGGGTGAAGTTTGAAATTATGAATAGAACATGTAGTTCCACCATCATTCATCATCATCCTACTTTTTCTCAGGGCCATCATTACCCTGGTGACTTTGAGTCTAGAGGCAGAACATCATTATTGTTTCTAAATGCCTAGTTACTTGGGAATCAAATAAAATGGTTCATAGGCCTACTGATAGGGAGTTTCACAACCAAACTCACTATATGTAAATTACTAAGTCTCAAAACGGATTAACAAGCGCGTAGTAAATCCAATTTCAATTTGATATTTGCATGGTTTCTTGTTATGTCAGGAAGAAGAAGAATAGTGATAATAATATCCACTTATGTCTTTACTTGTGATTTGGCAGGGAGGAGGTTCAAACATCTAATTTATGCAACTCCTTAATAAGTGAGAACGATGAAATGCAGTGGGCTGTTACTTGGGGTCAAACGGATTAGGCCATGTCCCAACTTTAACAGCCCATTCAAACAGATGTGCAGTCAGTATACCCGGAATTTAATAGTAGTAATTCAAAAAGGGTATTATGGTAATCATTGACAGGAGCGTGCGGTCTAGGGTTAGGTTAAGCCTGGCTATAACCCATAGGAAACACCACCCTACTTCAACTGCTCCTACACATTACTGATCCTTTGCGTTGCCTGTAGAGCTTCTTCAATCTGTTTTTGCTATTTCCTTGCTCAGTGCCAAAATATTCGTCCGAAAACCTCAGTTCCGTTTGAAAAGGGGAGACATTATATAAGATTGTCTCTTCATGGGAAAGAATAGTGAGGTGTATCAAATTCAAAGGCCGAGATACCGTTTCAGTCGTCATTTCTCCATTGACGCTCTGATTGTTGCTCATCCATACTTTTTCTTCTTCACATACCCCTCTTTTTCCCCACTGTTTCTGGATTTTCTTCACATTGCATTTCTTATATGGAAACTAGTAAAGTCCAGAGGGGCACATGTGATACCTTAGCCCAGTGTCAATAAGATATTCACTTATTTTGGAGAACCGAAAAGAGAATGACTTCAACAATGCTATTTACACAAATCACAAACTGTAATCACTATCAACGTATTGCTTTGTATTACAAGATGGCCTTTAACCATGTCTAGCAGGAATCCTTCCTTCTAAGCAGGGAAGATATCCGAAATTCAAAACAGAAACCTACATTTATGGATCAAACGCAATAATATTGTAGCTATGTAATTTTCTTAAACATTATACATCTCATGTCGCACTATGTGTATACTCGCATGAGTACTCTATCTATTTCTCTCAGTTGTCTCCATTTGCTTTTCTTGAGTGGACGTGAAAGATTTCTTTATACAGTCTACAATTCCTTCACAATCTGCTTCAGGAAGCATGCAATCAGGCATGTCTTCAAAGTCATCCTCATTTGAATGAGGAGACCGGAGGTTTCTGTGAGTCTGACAGGCCTTCATTGTCTTACAATGTTCAGCTTCATCATCTCTAATATTCACAAACACATCGTACAAATTATCTGTGAAGGGTGAACGGACATCAAAATACGAACCACTTCTGTCAGTTTGCATCAACAATTTAGCAACTAGATTCCTATAGTTTATTGTCACACCCTATGCAGGCCATTATTAATGTCTTTATGATTACTACAATCTGACTTGATGCAGAAATCACACTCGTATAGACAGCACTGTATCTAGTTAAAGAATGAATTCCTAATTAACTTATTCTGTAACAATGCAACACATATAGGCTTTGCAATGTGATAAAGTAGGATTGTGGAGGAAAAATCTTGTCCGTTACCTATTTTTGGTCTTCGTGAACAAGGAGCCCTAGCAGTTTGAAATTCATCTGGACGGGAAATGTGGACGAATTGTTAAACCCCAATATGAGATATTAAAATACTGAACCATATCAAGCAAAAGGATAAACTCACCAAACAAATACAAATCACCTCCGGTATAGTACTTGATAGCAACCTTGGGAGCAGGCTTTTTTTTCAACTCGTCTAAAAAAAAACAAAAGAAATATCAGATAAAAATTGGGTAAAGGCAGTCAGTTAAACAATTAAAACTGAAATGTATTGATGCAATGAAAACAATCTAAGACCTGTCAAAAAAACCCTTAACATCAATTTGTTGCCTGTGACCAATTAACTTAGATACGCAGGATAACTTGAAACTAGAGCTTATTGTCTAATGTGACAAATGGTTCATGTACAACTGCAAACTAGCTTAAGATTGATGATCAGGAAATAAAAAGCTGTCAACGTACCTCCTTGGACCTTGATAAATTTATCATAGGTTTCAAATGCATGACTCTCTACACATTCAGAAAAGTGATCTGCAATAATCATGAAACCAAATATGTTAAATTAAGCACCACAGATAAGTTAAAGTGGGGGGATTTTCGGGAATATTAAGAAACCAGCAGAGTAGAAATTCTCTGTGTTCAAACTAAACAGAGGTTAAGATGTATAAAGCAATCCCTTTATTCTCTTTGGTCTCTTTCTAGTTAAAACGGATAAATAGGTTGAAGTTAAGGCAGCAGGCTGTTGTGTCATGGTTGTATGCAAGAACATCCCTTTGCATAACTACCGAGTTAGATGGCAATTTTAGTCTCAATAACTGCTGATGACCATCAATAGGTTTCACCTACAAGCTCATTAGTGTGTAAGGGCTTTAATTGAGCAGGAAACGTCCTTTCATCATGCCGAATGAAGACGCCAGAAGAAACCAAACAGCATGTGTGTACATGCATGTGCAGAAGAGTGAGAGGCATTGTGCAAAGTGAAATCCAGATAAAAGTACTTACAAGCCATTCTGGGGCTTAAGGCATACATGAAGACTGTCATGAAATAATAAAAAAATGCTATATGTTGAGCAAGAAAGCGGTCAAACCACCAAGAATTCCCTCCCAATTCCTGTGACCAAATGTGATAAGAGAAGTCATGTAACTGAGACAACATTATAAGAATGGTATGCACCATGCTAGGTTTTTCTTTTTTCACCTTAATGCGACATTGAAGAAACTGTCTATTATCTTCATCAATTATAATTTTCTATTCAACTCACTGGAAATCATCTCATTCTAATCACGGTTTATATTAGAATTAAACCATTTAAGGACCTTACTTCCATAATTAGCAGGTGGTGCATCTCATTCCAGCTCTCAGCAAAATGCACTTTTAGATAGTCCGCTCTCCTCCACCAACCAAAACTCTCATACAAGTGCAGGACAGATATAAAGGCTGCCATAAAGACATAAAACAACACCCAAATATCAAGAAAACCCTTTGAATTATCTCCAGGAAATGGAAGATCATGTCAGCAAGTTCAAGCAAACTGTTAAAACAAATAAGAACACCCTCACACAAGTACACTTTTTTTCTGGTATAATGAGGACAGTGAATTAAGGATGTAAGAAAAAAGTTGCTACCGAAATAAGGAACTCTAGCAATTGTTTCCAACACAAAAAATCTGGCATAATCTCTGTCACGGTACAATGTATCAAGTATCTTTATAACTGAATCCTGAAAAAAGAAGTTCTACCAACATCAATAACAAATCAAAATTGGCTGAAAAATAAGGGGTTCAATTTGAATTACAGTAATTACAACAAAAATTAAGAAAATAAAATCATTTTACCGTGAGGAATATATTCACAGATTGTTCAACCTTAATGACCCATCTCTCCAAACCACTAGAAGATGAATTCGCAGGTGATTCCCCTACTTTTTCAATCTCATTTCCTAGGGGACTTTTCGTCGGAAATGATCTTTCTACGACAACTTCTTCTTCATCTTCCTGCAGGACTGTTGCTTTGACTGGATACAACTTCCTACAACCATTCGAGTAAAAGCCCATAAACTAATCCTTTTTTTTAATTACAACATGGGGGAACTGAAGGATCAGTCGAACAAATTACCTGGATAGCGGTCGAATGGAAGATGGGGAGCTGCAACGCAAAGGATTTTGGAAATTGAAAGGAACACGGGTTTTAGGATTCTTAGCTTTGAGGGGAAAGGAGGATGCTGAGATTGCAAACGCCGAAGAAGAGAGATTCATCACGTCGAAATTTGTTATGCTCTGTGGGGGGAAAAAGACAAATAAACTCAGAAAGGCAAACGGAAAGTAGCAATTGGCGATTAACAAATGGGAGCAGAAGTTTAGTTATAATTTTGTCCTACTACGGCTTTGGAGATTCTAAGTTTGGCAGTGGAAGGCTGTTTTAGGTGGGCGCATATTCCCGTTTTAGTCCGCTGTATGCGACTTTTATAGTGGAAATAGGCTTTCTTGCAAGGCTTTTGGGTCCATTACAGAAGACGATGGGTTTCAACTTTCAAGCATTTGTTTGGCTTGTTCGAAGGGATTTTTTTTCGAATGAAAATATTTAATCAAGCTGTAAATTCATTATAAAATAAGGAAATCATAAAAATTCCAGTACGCGACCATAAATCAATTCCCTATTTTCATGAAGTTGTAAATCCCTATCCGACGTCATCTCTTAGAACCAAGTTTACCAACATTTTTTTTCTCTTCCTCCCATCTCTCTTCTATTAATACAATTGATCAAATAATATTTTATGAACAAAATATGAAATGTCATAATTTTTTTTATCTAAGGTAAATGTTGTAATGTTCCATGAAAGACGCTTACCTAAATCCCTAGTCATTTTATAGAGATTACTTCTCTGTCTTCTGCGTTGAGACATTCGCATACACATGCAACTATCAGTTGAACTCCTCACAGTATATATGCAAAGACAAATGTCAATGCTAGCTTCTCCTACACATAAAATAGATCCTACATGGGTTTCATTGTTCGAGATGATTGTGGTCAAAATTTAGGTTCGAGCCACAAAGTAAATTTCAAAGTTTCATCGTCTTTCATAACAAAAGCTTTAGGAGTTATTCAAGGAATATCTTTTGCTCGTGATATGGGGATTCAAAGAGTTATAATAAAGAGTGACGAACAAAATCAAAAGCGGGAAGGATGCCATATCTGTGTTGGAACATTAATCAGTGATGCTAAAGAAATGACATGTAACACTCTAATCCAGTTCGACCCAAAAATTATTGTCATGATGTCACACGGGACCACCAGAGTGGCTGACCCAAAACTTTTCGTAAAAAATGATTGTAAAATGTGATACACAAAATCCATCCATAACAATAAATTAAAAACATAAATAAACTGGATTTACAAGTACGGGGAGCTCCCAAAATTTTCCATATAATACAACGATGAGTTTAAAATCAAAATAGAGTTACATTTGACCTAGATAGGGTCTACAATAGTACATGCCCTCTAAACAAGATCAAGACGTATTCTGAATCTCTACTGAGTTGGAACGACTAACGACGATAATACTCCGCTACTGGTCACCTATGAACCTTTGCACAGAAACACATTCTGAACGTTGAGCTTACGAGCCTAGTGTCATACTAATAATTGTACTATACTACATGCATTCACTTAATGAGCTAGCTAGCGGCACATGTATGAATACATGTAAAATAATGATATGTACTGCTGAAATATGCATCATGGTGCGATTGAGGATTCTGTATCTCGGAGCTCACACACCCCTCTAGCCTCTTTGAGATACCCTCGGGTATCTAGGGTGAGATCCGGAGCTGCAACAGAAACGTACACATGGCCAACTTACTCTGTCGAGTCTTGGGACATCTACGGCAGATGCCCAATCGGCTACTAAAGTTCCTTGGCACTGATTGGGATATCCAACTTACTGCGTATTCTTCTAAAGAGACTCAAGTGTCCTGGATGTTTCCCGAGCGTCAAACAATGCTAGTTTTATGTTATCATAGTTGTTATTATTTCTAGATGTTATGAGTTTATTAAAGTTCTCACTTGTAGTTTTATCTGTTGATATTATGATGTTTTTGGACCCTTCAAGTCTAAACCTTTATCATTGGATTATTTATCCAAAACTATATGTTGATATCGATGTTGGCCCTTTAGTATCGATACTGACCCCTTAGTATCAATACTCACCTCTTGGTATCGATACTGACTGAATGAGCTATGATGATAAGGGGGAAATAGTATTGATACTCCTGGTAGAGTATCGATACTCTAGTGTTGGGATATTAATACTGGTCTAAGTATCGATACCAAAATTAGGTTTAATGTTTTGAAAAATACCTCAGTGGTGATACCTCTAATTGGTATCGATACTAGAATAAATACTCCCTTGAGTATCGGTACCAAAATTGCCTACTGGAATCTGCTAAGTGAACTCGGTATCGATACCAAACTACGAGTATGAATACCTTATCTATAGTATTGATACCCATTGAAGGAGTATCGATACTTCTGTTTCAAAATCCCTTTTGTTTTTTAACATCTGAAGAATAATATCGGTATTATTCCTCAAGTACCGATACTCGTGCTCATAAATGCCTTATTTTAAGCACGAAAAATGCTAACTTTCCTACCCAAACGCTCTACTGAGGGTCCCAATTGTTATTAAAGTCTTATGAGTATTAAAATAGATCATAATAGGTTTTTAACATGCTGAAAACATCAAAAGATGCAAAGTACCATAAACATGCTTCATAACTCATACAACCTACCAAAACTTATTTAATGATCTACATGTGGTAGAGTTCAGTTAGAAGTATGCAAACTTTGATTTCTAAGCTGCTGAAAGTGTCCAAGGCTCAACTCAAGGTAAATTTTTCCTTCCCCTTGCTCTTGAAGCTTTCTCCAACTACTCTCACTAAGAAAAAATTGATATATAGATTACTAACGTTGTTGAGAAGTTTATGAAGGAATTTAGAACATCTCTTAAAGCTTAATTTTTTTAAAAATAGGCTGGTTTGTTATAGTTTTATAAACCCCCCACTAAACCCACATTTTGGGAACCATGAAGAAATGAAAGTATTGAAGGTTCGATTTGAAGCTCTATGAATGTTGATTTCGATTCTTATCTTTACTGAAACGGACTAGGATTGCTGGTTAACAAGTTCTCACCTTCGTTCTTGTAAGAGGGAGAATGAATGAGAAGAAGACAAAGGTTGTGAAGAAAAAGATATGGGAATGCTTAATACATGAAATCATCAATATTAATTAATGGGTTTTCATCCTTTTGAAATAAAAATGGTATAATTACTCATTTGGTTACTTAAGATTTGATCTCATCTTGAAAACACCCATTTATCACATGTTTAGTCCAAACCTGAGACCAAAATGAATGCTCACTTAGCTGAAGCCTATCTATAAGGTTAATGGATTTATTTAAAACACTCTCGGGTCAACCCGAAACTACTAACTCGTGATTCAAGATTTCCAAACTTGATCTTTTATCAGAGTACATCTTGAATATTGTAATGGCATGTACTGTCATAGGCCTTAAATATTTATTTATTTGAGTCGTAAACTCTATTTTATACTCATGTATTTTTAGACTATTGTTGGGAGCTAACCCGTATTTAAATACTTATATTTTGTAACCGTCTTATATTCTGGTATCTTTATTATGATTGTATGTTATTTTGGTTAAATGTTTTCAAAAAAAAATGTTTAGCTACATAAGTGGTTCCGCGTGACATTCTAATCTTCCAGATTTTGGGTCGGGTTGGATTAGGGTGCTATATTTAGTGATATCAGAACATTAAGTTTAACCTTTCTTAGGACCCGCGGGTTAGAGTCATTAAGTGTCAATGAAGTACATGCCTCTAGAGTGTTGAGTGTACTTAACTGTCTGGAAATAGTGAAGCTGACTTATCTCTTTTTGAAAATTCATAGGTTATGGCAGATGATTCTGCTCATAGTTTGAAGGGACGTGAGGAAAGTTGTGACTCTTTAGCAGGAGACACGGGGAACAAGTTCGTTCATGACTCTGATGATTTGGGCATCCCTTAGTAGGCATGGATAAATGAGGAAACGTTATTTAAAGACCTCACACATGCGCTGAGGCACATCGTTAAAGCTATTCCTAGGACACCCGCAGTAACTGAACCATATGTTCCACCCCCAGCATCCCCTCAGGAGTCTCATGTCAAGAGTTTATGTGCTACAAGACCACCAACTTTCTAGGTTCTAGTGACGACGATCATGTAGCTACTGACTAGTGACTCCGTGAGACCCTCCGTACCTTACAACAACTTCATCTTACCCCTGAGGGTAACTTAGAGTACATTACCACCCTGCTGAAGAGTGATACGATATACTGGTGGCAGACCATGGAATTGCCACTAAAGCATGAGCAACTAACTTGGGAGTTTTTTCTGTTAGAGTTCAGAAAAAATATATCGGCGAGACCCATACTGATGACCTGAGGGTTGATTCCTATACCTCACCCAAGGTGACTACTCTATTTATGAGTATGAGAACGTGTTTTTGAGCTTTACGCGCCAAAGCTGGTTACTATTGAGGAGCACCGCTGTAGGAGTTTCAAGGAGGGCCTCCATATAGACATTCTTACTCACCTATTAGTCGATCCACCCAGAATCTTTTCTGAGCTAACTCGCCAAGCAAAGATAATTGAGCGAGTTCTGAACAGGGGGCACGACATATATATTGACATTATAGAGCATGTTTGACAAACCCCAAATATCGATGTATCATCCCAAACTTCGGCCAAGAGGGCCAGAGACTCCCAAGCTCAGTCCCAAAGGTAGAGAGGGATCAAAAGACCATAGGAGGCCACTAACTTCAGCATCTTTGGCGAGCATTGGTGGTTTAACCAGGACCATGAAACCCCCCGACTTGGTTGCACTATGGTAGAAGATACTTATGGGAGTGTCATATAGCTTCAAGAGCGTGCTATAGATGTATATCATTCGAGCACCTTATCAGATACTACCCCCAAGGCTGAGAGTGTAGCACTGTTAGTTATATAGAGAGTGGCTCAGTCAGCCCCGAGGGGTCAATGATATTTCTAGAGACGAGGTAGTTCAACCTCCAGACAGTAAAATAGAGGTATTTCCAGATTCGTAGCTAGTCTTGAGGCTAGGGTTACCTCCTGTTAGTATGTGATCCGATCTCAGGAGGATTACAAGACTACTAATGTCATCTTAGGTATCTTTATAGTTTTTGGTATACTTATTACTGCCTCAGTAGACCTCGAATCAACCTATTCCTATATTTATTGCAATCTTATCCGTGAGATAGATACCCCACCTGAGGATTTATAAGTCAAGGTTCGAGTTTTGAGTCTTCTAGAACTAGATGTGTTAGTGAACAAGGTCTACCGTAGGTGCCCAGT